GTGCAGGACCCGGCTGCAGCCTCTCCTACCCAGATCTCCCTGCCAACCTCGCTCACGTGACTGCTGGTGGGAGACTGCAGTTCCTTACCACGTGGGGCTCACAAGGCTGCCCCAAAGTGGTGAGAGAAAGAGAACCCGAAGGGGAAGCAGAATGTCCTTTATACCCTAATGTCAAAAGTGACAGATCACCATTCTGGTGGTTTCTAGTGATGGCACAGACCAGCGCTGACATATGTGGGGTCATATGTCAAATGCTATGGGGTCATATGCTATCCAAGGTCACGAATACCAGGAAGCAGGGAGTCATTGGGAGCCACACTGGAGGCCAACTGACCCGGATGAATTAGACATTTTCTGGCAGTATAGCCCCAGAAATCTTAGGCATGTCCTCAGAGAGGAGTTTTACTTTTCCTCATATGGGTCCCCACCCATATGTCAAATCCGTTTGTCAAATCCATGCCAGCATCTCATCTCTGGTTCTTACTGTGAATGGGATCTTTTTCACATTGTATTTTCTAAGTAGTTGTTGCACTTCTCAGGGACACTTTTACTAGAGGAGTTAAAAGTCGGTTTTCATGGCCACAATTTTTCAGTGGCGCTTAGCTGGTGACAAGGCAGAAACTACTGTAGACTTTCACTGAGCCCTTGGATTGCAAAACTGAGACGAAGTTGAGATCCTAAGTGTGCTCTTGGAAGCAGCTTCCCCAAGTGTCTGTGCCAGGGGAGGTGAGTAGAATAGGAGAAGCCTCCTGGGTTCTTACGTGGTCCTTATGTGGTGGCTGTGCCCAGGCTTTCCCGAGGCTAAGCTGATGGGATTCTCTGGTCATCGCTTGACTCTGACTTCAAGGGACCATGTGATTAGGGCATGGGGGGACAGCCAGGGCAGGTGGCCTATAGCAATCAGTCTACCTAATGCCCCATAGATTTAGCCAATCTGCTCATGTCTCCTACGTCCAAGTCTCCAGCAACCTCCCTTCAGAGTGCTGTTCTGGACACCTCCCCAGGATTTGCACAGGCTGTAATCAGTTCTACCTTGTAAGTTCCTTCCTTCATTCTCTTTTCCTTATTTTATTAAATTAAACGTTTTGTTTTTGAGAGACAGAGCATGAACAGGGGAGGGGCAGAGAGAGGGAGACACAGAATCAGAAGCAGGCTCTGGGGCCCTGAGCTGTCGGCACAGAGCCCGACGCGGGGCTCGAACCCACAAACTGAGCAATCGTGACCTGAGCCGAAGTTGGATGCTTAACTGACTGAGCTACCCAGGCGTCCCCATTCTCTCTTTTCCAATAGATATTTATCTAGCACCTGGTGCATGCTAAGCAGTAATAGAGGCACTGAGGGCTATCTAATAGATAGAGATAAAAACACAAAATAAGTAAAATGGTATTTTGCAAAGTAAGTAGTAAGGGAAAAAAAAAAACTGAGTTGAATGAAAGACGAGCAAGAGTACAGAGGAGTTAAAAGTTTGAGCAAAGAGGTGAAGGAGGTGAATGAGCCCTTGTGGCTTCTGGACAGAAGGAAGAACCCGGGGTAAGGCCCTGAGGAGGAGGCATGCCTGGTGTGTTTGTGGAAAGTGGGGGAGGCCAGCGGAAGGAGAGGGGTGGGAGGGCTAATCTGGGGGTGGGGTGTGGAGAGGCAGATCCTGGAGGGCCTGGTGGGCCCCTATAAGGACTTGGGCTTGGACTCTGAGTAAAATGGGAGCCAGCGCAAGGCTCTGAGCAGAGAATGCCACGATCTGATTTAAATTTGAAAAGGACTTTAAGCAGATGCAGAGATGACCTGATAGGCTCTGGGACAAGAAATGTCTCCCAAGTCTTCCCTCCTTAGTCCCCACTGGCAGCTCCCATACAGTCCTTATCACGTCTCTCCTAGACTTTGGCCAAAGTCCGCTGACTATCCTCCCTGCCTCCTGCTCTCCAGACTCCTCTCCGCACCAGCACCAGAGCTGAGAAAATGCTCCAAGTGGTTTGGGGGCTTGGGAACCTCTGGTGACATGAGCAGTTTACCAATCCCCGCGCTGTAGCCTTCCTGGCCAGGGAGCTCTGGCTTTGCCTCCGCTCTGCCCTGCGGGTGGGGGCGGGTGTGGAGGCCAATGTTTTGGAACCACATTTTAGGACTTTTGAAATACATTTAGTTTCAGGCATCTATCTTACTTAAAACAATACAGAATGGTCTATAGCGGCCTCCCTTCCCCTTCCAAGAAGAAAGCAAGAAACCACGTGTGTGTTCCATATTTTTCCTTTGTTTACACAAAAGTAATCACATACAGAATTGAAACAATGGATTTCGCTGTGCACAGTGTTCTGCGGTTCACCTTTTCGTTTTATCTGCCGTGGACATCTTCTCTCGCCAAAGCGGACATCCTCGACCCATCCTTTGTGACAGGTGTAGTGTTCTGTACTGGGGAGACCCCACCCCATAGAGGGACATTCGCGTGGTTTCCAGTCCCTTGCACAGCGTTGCTTGCGTGTACTCCCGCCCCAGGAGAAATTGCGTTAGGATGCAATATTAAACACATCACATCGGCCAATGACCAAAGAAAACAAAGTAAGGGCAGTTGAAAAGCGTCAGACAACTGTAGACCCGGGGGCCCCTCGCCTCGTTTTTAGTCGCCAGTACTCCTTTCGTTTGCGCGGCCCCTGCCCCTGGGGTAGCGGCCATTGACAGCCACCGTGTCCCCGCTGCACGGCGTCGGGGGTGGGGGAGGGATGCCCCTCCACCCAGATCCCGGCGTCACCTCGCTCCGGGTACCCTGGGCTCCCAGCCAGGCTGGCTCCCCGGCTGCTCGCGGCGCCCACACCGGCCGCCAGGGGGCGCTCCGGGCCGGGCCGAGCGGCGTCCTCCGCCGGGGAGGGGGCTGGTGGGAGGTGGCGCGGAGCGGGCCGAGCGGCTCCCACCAGCTCCTGGCGAGCGCGTCTTTCCAGAAAGCCGATCCCGTGGCGCCGGGGCTGCGCTCGGAGGCTCGGCCTGCCGCCCCACCGACCCGGGATTGCCTCGGAGCACCGTGCCCCCTGCGGCACGAGACGGGGCTCTAGCGGGGGTCATTCCTTCCGGCCGCCACCCACCCTCTCCCGGCAGGGTGGCCGCCTCGAGGACGCCATCAGATCCACCCCGCCGGAGGCGCATTCGCAGCCAGCCCTTTCCTGCTCTGCGTACTTCCCCCCCCCCCCCC